GGCTTTCCAAAATTTGAGGCCATTGCCTGATCTCATTGTTTACTGCTTCAAGATAAATAACTAGTAACAACTAAGGCTAAAAGTTTTTTATAATTTGCATGAGAAAGGGATATATATGCAAATTTGTGAGGTCTTTACAATAGTTCTCTGGTGCAATCATGCACAGCCAGTTTTAGTCACATGTCTGGTATATGATATTAAGCTTGTGAAAATGATTTTTAATCATTCATATTATATTAAGCTTATGAAAATGGTTATTAATCTTTATTTATTTTCCCACTTTTTACTACTTTTCTATAAACCAAACTTATTACACATTTTGAGTAAGATGACATGTGATCGATCTGATGCTTCTTGCTCTAGGAACATATTGTTTCTTGCTCTAGGAACATATTGTTAAATTGCTTGAGCTCAAATATAGAATTCAAATAATTGTCAATTTTTATAATGAAGATTGCAGAACCGAACAAAGTTTATTCACAATACAACCAATAAATGGATAGGATAGATTTTAGCAATCTATTTAATTGGGTACACAAAATCATTTATTTAATTACTCTCTATTTTCAAATTAAAATTGTTTACATCTATAAAAGAATTTCATTGCTTCACACATATGTCAGGATCGCTCAACAGAGGGTTTCAATCTCATCTCGGTGTAATTTTGTGTTTATATTTATGAAGTAATATGTTTAATTTCCTCTAATATCTCAAGCAAATTTTTTCTAATATCTGAAGTGAAGGGTGTTACTAAAACTCTAAAATAATTGAAATGAAAATAATTAATATCAATATAAAAGTTGCTATGAATTCTTCAAAAATCATATAAAACAAAGTATTGCTCTGTATCATTGTTGCTGCCCCTTATATATAAATGATTGCCACACTTAGCTGCATGATTTGTCATGCTGGAGTTGGTATCTAGAAATGAAAAATGGATGCTATATAGGATATAACGAATGTAGAAGAGCCATAAAATTTATACTGGGTCCTAAGTCACATAAAGCGAAAGCGGGAAGTGAAAGCATGAGAGCGGCATATCCCAAAAAAACTTAGCCGCATCAAAAACTTATAAAATATTCATTTATAATTGTAAATATATATTTTAAAATAAATTTCATGCAAATAAAAAGACTGAATAGTGAATTAAATATGAGTCCATTACAATAAATATAACCTACTTTATAAAAATACATAAATTAATAAAAAAAAATGACAATCAAACAATTTGCTTTATAAAAACAAAAGCATAACAGTGAATAGGGTATAACTGAAAAAAAAAAAAAAAAAAAAAATTACTTCCAAGCATAATTGCATAACAAAAAAATATATACATTATTAATAATAATAATGAATTTTATTCATCTTTATACATTTTTCAAGATGACAATCATTGTCTTTTGAAATAACAATGTTCAAAAGCAAAAGAAAAAGACAACAATACTATAGTTTGCAAATTCTACTACTAGATATCCAAACTTCCAAACCCAAAAGCAAAATGAGACTACAGGAGCCGAGAGAATATGAAATGTTCGAATCCTTCTTTCAGTTCAAAGACTTTGTTCGAATCCTTCCTTTAGTTCAAAAAGCCGAGAGAATATAAAAATTTTTAATATTTGGAATGAGAATAAGAGTGAATCAGGGATACAAAAAATCAAGAGTCAATTATTCAAGACTTCGTTCTCTCCACTCAAAGAAAGAAGTGAAAGAACCCTACACTTAATAGTAGATTCAGAATATGAAAAGTTATTTCTTCCTTTATGTCTTTACTACTCCCTCTGTCCCAAATTAAGTGTCCTGTTTTGGAAATCGTGACTCACATTTTGTAAATCACGGTTTCTATTATTATATTATTTGACCTATAAAGGACAGAGTTTACTTAATTAAATTAAATTGGTTATTTTTTATTTATATAATTAACCTTATTTGGTCTATTTAAGTTGGGGTAAAACTGAAACTTCTTAAGATTCACATCAGGGTGAAAACAATTCCCGCGCCCGCGGGCCCGGGGGTTGAAAAAACTAAAACTTTGGATCAACATTGGTCGCAAAAAATCGATCCTTTGGCAACCAAAATTTATTTTAGTTGTTAATACTCTAACCAATTGCAGCAAAAAATAAATCCTTTTGCGACCATAAATTATTTTGGTCATCAATATCTTAACCAATTGCGACCAAAATTTACTCTAGTCACAAATACTTTAAATTTTAGGACGGCAAACAATATAATATTTGCGACTTTTTCAATTTTGGTCGCAAAAGGACAAATTTGTTGAAGTGAACTTTCTTTTTTTTTTTTTTTTTTTTTTTTTTTTTTTTTTTTTTGGTTTCTTCCACGTCTCTCCTCTCTCTTCTCTGTATTTTTCTCTAAACAACCAATCCTTGGTCCAGCTCCGGTGGTCCAATTGCAAGACAACTGCTTCCCCAATTGATATGACTTCATTCCTTTATGTGAATCAATCCTTTGAAGGATGGTTTCTTCTGGAATAGTCTCTTATGCGGTTTCTTTATCTCTTCATCAGACAAGTTCTGCTTTAGAAGCATATGATCTTGTTCACAAGCAATTGATTCTTCGGATGTTTCATAACCATCTAATGAGGATTCTCCGGACAAATCTATTAATACTTAAATCTACAGCTTGATTCTCACTCTTGAATCTCTGAAACAAATCAACCTTGTTTGGTATGGTAAGATTAGTCAATTTTCTTTGAAGGCTACTAGTCGGACTTGACTTAGGTTGTTCCATTGCAGCAGCAGTCTCTCCTTATAATAAATTGGTTTTCTCTGAGGTCTCGTCTTTGACATCTACCTCTTCCGTCTCCAAGTCATTCTTTTCAGCCAAGTCTTCTTCAGATGAATTGCATTTCTAACAATTTCCAACTCCTTAATAGTAAGGGCAATGTTGGAAATTTTTTTTGAATTGATTTGAAAATAAATTACAAAAGTAGGACTTATTTGTCCTCGAAATTTTTTTTAGGGCTTGATTGTCTTTAAGCTTCAAAAGTAGAACTATCAAGGAATTTTCCCTATTTTTTTTGGGTGCAAGTGAGGTGATTTCCCTCCTCTAGGCCTCCACTTATAAACAGTTACTTAACAAATGGTGATTGAATGCAAATTATCTATTTATTTTTTATTTTTGCAAATTGAGGAGGTAAGTTGCCTATTTATTCAGTGGAAAGGGGTTTTATGCAAATCACATATGATTTTTTTTATATATATATAAAAAAATAAAAAAATGCAAATCACATACGATAAGATCTTGTTTTCTGCATGTAACGTGAAAATAATAATAATAATGAAAAAACAATTCAGCAATGAACTGCAAAGCTTATGTTTCTTTTAATATGGTATAAGAGAGGGCGTTGGATGGGAGAGAAGGGGCATTATGCTTTTATTCTTTGCATGTTAGAAGAGTTATTTTGTTAGAAATGTTAAAAAGATTCGAAAGGTGCTTGATTTCTTTCTTTTTTATGGAGGAAGGAATATGGTCGGAACAGAAGAAAAATGCCTTGGAACTTCTATTCATCTTTGCTTCTTTTTTCTTTTTTTTTTTTTTTTTTTTTTTTCTTTTCTATTTTATTTATTTATTTTATTTTATTTTATTTTATATATATATTCTTTCTTTATTATTGTTTCTTTTGGGTGCAGCTAAGGTGCTTTCCGTCCATTGATTAACGCTTGCTTTATGAATGGTGATTGAATGCAACCTTTTTCTTAAAATATGAAGGGTTAATATGAGGAGTGACCTATTCTATCGAATCGGCTTAGGTATCAAATTTAAACAATTTGATCCCTACGAATTGGTGAAATTTGAATATAATACATAGTTGTATATGCAATATAAAACTAACGAATAAGATCGGATTAGTTTAGTTCTTTGTTAACCGAATTGTTAATGTGGATTTCTAATTTATAAATTCGTAACCGAACTGTTAAAAAAACGATCGGATAAAATGAACACCCTACTAAGTTGTCTATTTATTCAATATGATCCGGGATAAATGCAAATCACAATATTTTCTCCATGTAACCCAAGATAAATTTTTAATCATTGGATAACATAGGAACCCAAATCATCTCGTATATATTGCATTTTGTTATGCCTTATTGCTTGCAACAATTCGCATCGTTTATATAATAATTATATTATATCGTTATTTTATTGGGTTATATTTCATCACGAGACTGTACATTATGATGTATAACATTGCATAAGTGATACAGGACCAAGGCAGAAATCCGGATTAATCAATAACTTGATGACAACGAAATGTTAGAGGAATAAACCTTTTTCTTCCTTTGGACGTAAAACAAAAAAATGTCGGTCCATGATAATGATCATCTCTTGCGAAAAGAATATAGCAAGTTGTGGCACACAATGTTGGTCTATGATAATCAAGAATATCTTGTGAAAAGAATATAGCAAGTGGTGACACAAAATGTTGGTATAAAATTGGGTCCATCAAAAAAGGCGATGCTCTTCCAATATCGTGACTAAAAAGTAATGTACAGGTTGCTTTGAAATTAAAAGGGGAATTAATCGAAGAAAAATTCTGTGTTAGCCATGCATGCATGCAGAATTAAACGTTAGTTGTCACATAGAAACTTCTATTAATTTTTTTTTTTTTTCAATAATCAGAATGTCCCGATTAATCCACAAAACCCTGCAACACCACACGGATTCTTCAATTAATTTATTTGTGCTCTTAGACCACAATAGTATTTGACATGTTTTTTAATTGAGTAACCATGTATATATGTATATATATATATATATATATATATACTTGTAAATAATCTAATTAATGGCATATTAACTTGAGTTTCAATCTATCTTTATTTGTGGATCAAAATTAAAGGGTCGAATCATGGACATCGAATCCTATTCGAGATTACCTTTTTTTTTAAAAAAAAAAAAAAGGAAAAAAAAAAAAATTTGTCCACTACGTACGTAGCATAATCATCAACAGTACTCTTGCTGAATATATAAATATATATAATATAAGGGCCTAGCTCCTCCAAAGCAATTACTAGCTAGAGCCCAAGCCAGAGTATCTTACAAAGATCAAAATGGCGTCTGTGAACACATCGATCAAGTCCGTACAAGCATTGGACCAATTTCTTAAAGAGAAACAAGACAAACTGGTAACACCTAATTTTTTTTTTTTTTGTTTTTTCCTCTAAAATTTGTAGTTAGTCTTAGTTTTGGCTCCACTGAACCTTTTTTGTTCATTTTTTTTTGCAAAGAATGTGGTTGGGATCTCAGCTACATGGTGTTCAAATTGGGAATCGATAGGAGAAAACTTCCGAAAGACTGCTGGGAACTGTGGCGACGACGTTTACTACGTTGAGATCGACTTCGATGAAATGCCGGTATATATGGCTCGTGTTGGTTCTGCGTATATATATATCCGATTTATTAAGTTAATGAATTATAGAATTTGGATCATTAACGATTTATTAGATTGAATATTTATTCCATATGTTAGTTATCGAATCATATTCGAATCAAAATTCGGTTCAGATCTGCGTACAAAACAATTGAGGGATGTGATTGAAAATTGAAACACGAACAAACCACACTGTGTTACGTGTTTGAACCCAACTCACTATTGTTGTACTGCAAACAAGCTGTACAACTGAGGATCCTTACCCATACTAGCTAGTTAGGGTATAATATAATATGATGGTTTATGTTATTATTTTTGTTTTTTTGTCAATATATTATATATAATAGATAAAATCGAATTGTAATACTAATGAGTGTAAAATGTATACGTGAAAACAGGATGTTGCCAGGAAGTATAGGTTACGATATTTGCCAACCTTCATAGTGTTGAAGGGAGAAAGAGAAGTGGCCAGGGTTGTTGGGTCGAACAGGCGCGAGGAACTTGAGAAAAAGATTAATCAGAACAAGAGTAGAAATTGATCCATGATATATATATATATATAGGAATAAGTCCATCCGTGGCTTATTAATCATCTATGTAGTACGTGGCATGGCTTAGAGAAGCAGCTGCATATATAAAGAAGGTGTGTAATGATATGATGATACCTATTCATCATACTGTATTGTCTGAATAAAAACCATATATGTTGTGTAATAAATTCGTATTCTCTCTCTATCTATTAGAAAAATCATATTTATTGTGGATAAATTTTTTATACTACTCATGCATAAGCAATCCATATTCAATGCTTGTCATGGGCTCTCCCATCCTTGGATGTTGGAGTCCGAAACTAATAATAATAAATAATAATAATTTTATTGATGCATCTATCGGTGAGGGTATTATTTAATTTTTACGATTTTCCCTCTGTTATTGTTTTGTTGTTTCACCGAGTTTTCAGATTCCGCATGATTGTGATCTACTTTGCTTTCGGTTCTGAGTGATTAGAGTGATTCGAGTGATTCTTTCCGACGGGTGTTTTCCAGTGTCTCTTTGTTCTCTTGCAGAGCTCTCTCATAGTTTTTGTCAATACCTTGGTTGTGAAAGAGATTACCGGCATGTGCTTTCCTGGTTCAAAAAATTGCTTACGTGATATTTAATTTACTAAATGAAAATACATAAAGGGTATTTCAATATAAACAACAAGATTTACATGGTTCAACAAATTACTACATCCACGGATGAAGAGAAGAACGATTAACTTTTATTTCAATATAAAAATTGCACAAACACTTCTCCTCTCCATCACAACTTGTAGTCCAAATTGGTGTATAAGTACCATATACTATAGTATTACTATTTAAATATTTAATAAAAAATATAATATATGATATATATATATATAATTATTATTATAAACAATTATATATATATATATATATATAATTCTCTAATGATGTATATTATACTAAATAAAATATACTTATATATTAGTAATATAAAACCAAACTTAAAAAAAAAAACTGTTAATAGGCCGAGTCTAAAATTGGATTATATTTTCTTAAGACATATTTACTCCGTTATAGTGCTGACGGACTTTGTAACGTTTGTCTCCTAGGATACAACGACCTTTCTTTCCTCGATAGCAGCACTGCAAACCGAATAATTGGCAAACTGGCTTGGTATAGTACTCTGAACCAGACTCAAACTCACACACTAGCACTATGTGTATACAACACACTAATACTATGTATATGCAAAGAAGTGAGAAGAAAAAAGGAGAAAATGAGAACTCAGAAATAGAAAAAAGAATTCTGAGTTGGAGTGATTTGCAAATTACCCCAAGGAGGTATTTATAGGCAACGTGATGTCCTTTCGTCAACATACACAACCATTTCCAATGGGTTGCAATGGTTGGTTAGTGTCTATTCGTCAACACACATAACCACTCCCAATGGGTTGCAATGGTTGGTTTGAATAAAACTCACACATATTCAGATTATAGTTATCTCATCATTTTAAACAACCCCACATGTTAAACACTACATACTACTCTGTATGTAACGTAATACCACCATATCAGTGTTGACATTCACATTGCTGCAACTTTTACGTTGCAGATAATGTTCATTCACATATTCCAATAATCCCCCACATGAATGAAAATTGGCGTCAATTGCAAATGATGAAAATACTGACATTCCCTAGTGTATTACTATAGGATTTATTGGATCAAGATAGGTAACTTTTGGCCTTAAACGTTCCCTAGTGTATTATTATAGGATTTATTGGCTAACCAGTGAATATGATATCTTGAACTGTTTAGCTGTGATGTAAACCAAGACAATAGCAAACACACAGTTCCCTTCTGCACAAATTTGATTCTCACGATTGTGTTTATATGGCCCTGAACAACTTATGGTATTTTATGACTGCTCCAGAAAACTTAGCCTTCAAAATTCTCATAGAAGCGGCCCCACTTCACACTCCTATAGGTGACCTCTTATTAAGAGTATCTTATCATATCCCACTTGAATTTTTAAGGTATAAGAGTCATCAAAAGTGTAGCTTATCCTGATCCTCACTGTAGGTAGCACTGTCTCATCATAGAAATGGGTAGAAGATTAAATCTTCCCAGTGCTTCTGGTGAATCATTCAAAATTTCTATTGTCCCTTTGAACCTATATCTTGGGATCTCCAATCAACTAGGTTGGGTTTCCATTAAGATGACTTGTTAGCTTTTGGCTTTAATCTTATTACCCTCAATGAACTATACACACTTATTCTATTATCAAACATTTTGTAAATGGATCAGCTAAATTGTCTTTAAACTTGATATAATTTATTAAGATTATCCCATTTGAGAGCAACTATTTAACGGTATTATGTCTTCGACGTATATGTCGAGACTTATCGTTATACATATGTGATACTCCCGGATTTCCGAATGCGGATTGGCTAGGCCTACGCCCGAACACCCGGAGATATCGAAAAACAAATCGGTAATAATCGAACACATAATACAAATATGATAAATAAGAATAAATAAAATGCTGAAAAGAAACTAAAATGATAATCCAATAATTTAATCCTCAAAATAAATTTTCATTAAATAATAACTTATTCCTATACAACCAATCCTCCAAATTAATACAACTCGGGAATCCATACTATGTGGACCCCTAGAAAATCCTAACTGAACAAGTGACAGTAATAACTGTCTACATTAAAACACTGAAACATAAAGGAAACTCCTATGTAGATAATCCAGAAGAGTGAAGTAAACTGATCCTTACTCAAAACGAACAATTTCTATTCCTGTCGAACACGTGAAAAATAATGGTGGGTCATGCCCACAAAACATCCACACAATCCAATAATTGATGTAATAATATAAATACATTAAATAATCCAGAGATAAACATAATAAAATTCAGATAAATAACTGAACATAATATTCTGCTAGTACTTGACTAAAATCATATAACATCCATTTAAATTGGTAGAATAATGTTAAGCAATTAAATCATTCATCATCAATATATAAATTCAATTAAAATTTCATACTGATTTAAATCCTTAACATAATAAAATCAGAAACAATAAATGATCATATTATCCTGCCATTACAAGATTAATACCATCCAATATCCATTTAAATTGAAAAAATAATATTAAGCAATTAAATCATCCATTAACAATATGCCAATTTAATTCAAATTCTATATTGATCAAGTTATTAGCATACTGGAGTTTATTATGCATTCTGGTACTTTTTCATATCCATAACAATCATATAAATCATGTTTTATGAACCCATCAACCCTAAAACTCCAAAATCCAATTTCTAGAACCCAAAAATACGTTAAAACCCAACCTTCAGCAAAGGGGCCGCCTCCATTCCCAATTGAGCTGCCTCCATTCCTGCTACCCTCCGTCTTCTTCGTCTCCAGCAACTTTCGGACATTCCAATCGCCTCCATTAAGGTCCCTAAAGGTCTGAACTAAGTCTCAGACATCTTCAAATAATTAATTAAAGTTATTATGCATCTTAATCCCACATCAAAACAAGTCATCATGCAATAAAATTCAAGATTAAGTAAGAACACATAATAACACATAAAATCAGTTTTAATTCAATTTAAGCATGCAAAATAGATTGATTAAATATCTGATTACTCTTGGAATTAACCTAGGCATGCATAGAATATGAATATAAGGGAGAGAGTAAGAGAAGAACTTGTCTTTAAGGATTTCGAATTGAAACATTAAATCGCCTTTTTCCTCTGTTTTCTAATGACCTTGGTTGCCGTCAAAACCCCTGCTGCTTGAGCCCTAGTCCTCGCACAGACTCTCCTTCCTTCCCCTTTGGTTCGACCCTGAACCTTGGCCAACAACTCTCCTCTTTCTCTCTCTGTTTCTCTTCCTAAAACTCTCTGTAAAAACCCTCTCTTTCTAGCTAATATATATCACATAATATACATATTTTAGGCTCCAGACGTATACATACATATATATACGTTAATATAAAACCCTAATCCTAGTTTAACCCTAAATCTGACTATAAGAAAAAATAACAGAAAAGGGTAACTAATGATGTATGTATATATAATCTTATATATATAACTTTTATTAAATAAATATATATATATCAGATTATTGTATAATATTATTAATACTAATATTAAAAATAATAGTAATAAAATACTATCCATATATATATATATATATATATATATATATATATATATATACATATACTACTATCCATGGGTAAATATTCATACCCATTTATCTCTTATCCAAATAGTCCATGTGACCCAATTGGTTGGTCCATTACTACTATCTATATCCATTATTTTAAACAAAAAAATAAAATAAAATAAACATTTAATCTACCAAATAAAATTATAATTAATTCATATCATTAAAGCACACAATTTAATTAAACAAATAATACAAATAACACATAGACAAATAGACAATTAATCAAGTAACACTTAAATTAATTTAAACACATAAGCAATTAGCTAAATAGTCAATTAAACAATTAAAAATGCAATTAAAACAAATAAATAAATACCGAGACTATCGTTTTAAAATTAGGAGTATTACATTCTTCCCCCCTAATAAAAGAAATTCCGTCCTCGAAATTCGTCCTTACTTTCTTCTATTATTTCTGGAAACTATAAGCGAATGACATCCTTCTGTTCCCAAGTAGACTCAGCCTCATAATGATGGCTCCACTTAAATCCAATGTATCAAATAGTATACATGGTTCCTATATTTAAGAAACACAATAACCATACTATAAATAGGTTGTATCTAATAACAACTCAATCTTACCCAATTTTTATTCAAGGGTAACAATCTATAGTCTTCCAAGTTCCATAGAATATATGCACAAAACTCCTATGGACCTAGTGCTTACAATTTGGAAACGCTAATTTATAGGGTACTACCTCAATTTATAAACCAAATCCGCCAAAAGTCAATAAAATAAATCAAAATTGACCCTCCTCCAAAAATTGTCTTGCTTCCTATATGAAAGACATCACGAGCAAATTATTTCCTGATAGAAAACTCTAGTATACGAGTTTGACTATTTATGAAAAAATGTTGTCGCCTCCAAACTGCACGCAAACCATTACAAAGGAGAGTATTTCTCTCCGACGTATCTTTAAATGAAATCAAGGTCTGATTGTATAACCCTTACTTTCATTTCAAACCAACA